ATAAGTAATGCTTTCTCAAAAAAGAATATCAATTAATTTTGTCAATATAAATATTAACCACTGTTTTTCCTATGCACACTTGTGTCATATTAAACTAATAAATTAGACAAAAATAAGAAAACGTTTTTTTTAAAGATCGCTTCATGGAGTTTATTTTAGCATTCTTGTCTCAAAGACCTGATTCAAGTTATTGAGCATAAACGATATCGGATTCCTGACAGTCGTAGGGCGAGCCATGTTTTCCGGCGAAACTTTTCAACCTTTTTCGATTAACTATTCGGGATAGTTCACTTTGAGGATAAACAGGAAATTGAAAAAAATTCATAACCGTTTCACCGCTTTAGTGTTACATGCATATGTACAATATGGAATTTGTAAAATGTGTTAAACATACTTTCTAAACTTCGAATCTTAGGCTATAAGAACGTTCTTTTCTTTCAATTTCATTAAAGCTATCACTCCTATTTAATAGAACATTCCAAAGAAAAGGGGCGAAGATTAACTCATGGCGTTTGGCGCTAAATTTGAATAGTGACCCGCCTTTCATAATTTTAAGAGAGAAGCACTGTATCATTGATATATACAAGTAGATTTAGAGTAGAGGTCCCGATAGCGTAATATTTAGTGCGTTGGAATTTCATGTGGCGACTTTGGTTCAATCCCCCTTGTGTGCAAATCTTTTTTTTTACTTTTCAAATCGATTTTACGTTTTCTTTCCGGAATCGGACGGAAGACCTCTCGTTGCTCGCAACGAGTTTCATCTAGTTAAGGTCTTCCGTCTTCACGGAAGACCGTATAGTGATTCTACTGTTTCTTATTATTTTTTCCGTGACCTTATAGTGATTCTTTGTTTCTTATTTATTAAGGTCTTCCGATCTTCTCGAAAACCTTCTATTTCTACGGTTTCTTATGAAACTTTCACAAGACCTTATATGATTGTACTGTTTCTTTTTATTATTATTATTATTTTTTTTTCCCCCTTTTCTTGTAAATCGGATTTCTCAGAAGAGAAATTTGGATGAATAGAGAACCAAAATACGCTCAGGCGTTTTCTTCATTTTTTCAAATATCACTTCCGGTCGTCAGATTTGTCCGATTTCCTGTTTTTTCAGAAATATTTTGTCATAGTCATATCTCAGAAACGGTAAGAGATGAAGACACCAAACTTATATGAGTAATAGACCATGATAAGTAGGCGAGCCCATTTGGATTAAGATCGTCCGCCGTCACTTCCGGTCGTCACAGGAAGTGATCAAAGAAATCGAAAATTTCAACTTTTCTTTTATGAAACTTTTTTTGCAACACATTATAGCATCTTATTTGTAGTTTCGAAATATATCAGCCCCACCGGAAACAAAAACGACAACTTCCGGTTATAAGAGAAAAACTGCACATTTTCAGTATTTTTCTTTCCCATAAATATTTCTTATTGATAAAAATGATTTTTGGATATGTTTCAGACTGCAAATGACTTTTTTGTTTTTCGTATTTTTCATTTATCATTGCTAGATCTCGTTAACAGTAAGAGATTAAGACACCAAACTAATAGGGGTGGTAGAAGATTAATAGAAGTCCTCCTTATGATGCTGACTATATAATTTGTTTGAATGTTGATAAATCTAAACTCTAGATATAAGCATTCAAAAATTTGAAGCGGGTCCAAAATGGCGACTGTCTCTGTCAACGCCGACATTTCGCAATAGGGGTTTACGGAGGCAGTCGAGCGTTTGCTTGAACGAAAGTAACATAAGGATAAAGATATTAGTATAGCAATGAAATGTAAAGGAATACTTGGATCGTCACGTCGTAGTTTCGTTGGAGTTCTGTGTCAAACTAACGTCTTCTGTAATTGGATTTGGCTGGTTTTCAAAGTAGAAGAAGAAAAGACTAAATGTGGAAATGAAATTCGATACCTAATATCATTTATGCACCACGGAAAACAGATCTTAAATCATACTTATAAGTAATACTTTCTCAAAAAAGAATATCAATTAATATTGAAAGTTTAAATCTTAACCACTGTTTTTCCTATGCACACTTGTGTCATATTAAACTAATAAATAAGACAAAAATAAGAAAACGATTTTTTAAAGATCTCTTGATGGAGTTTATTTTAGCTTCTTGTCTTAAAAGACCTGTTTCAAGTTATTGAGCATAAATGATATCTGATTCCTTGACCGTCGTAGAGTGAGCCATGTTTTTCGGCGAAACACTACCTTTTTCGATTAAATATTCGGGATAGTTCAATTTAGGATAAATAGGAAATTGGAAATAAAAAAGTTAAAAATTCAAAACAGTTTCACCGCTTTAGTGTTACATGCATATAAACAATATGGAATTTGTAAAATGTGTTAAATATACTTTCTAAACCTAGAATCTAAGGCTATAAGAACGTTTTTATTCTAATTTCGTTGAAGCTATCACACCTATTTAATAGAACATTCCAGAGAAAAGGCGCGAAGATTAACTCCTGGCGTTTGGCGCTAAATTTTGAATAGTGACCCACCTTTCATACTTTTAAGAGAGAGGCACTGCTTCGTAAATATGTACAAGTAGATTTAGTGTAGATGTCCCGAAAGTGTAATATTTAATACGTTGGAATTTTGTGCTGGTGACTTGGGTTCAATCCCCTTGTGTTCAAATCTTTTTTTTACATTTTCATCACGATTTTACGTTTTCTTTCCGGAATTGGCCTCTTTGCTCGCAACGAGTTTCATCTAGTTATTATTATTATTATTATTATTATTTTTCTTCTCGGGAAAATTTTGTCCGCGAATGATCTTGTAAAGTACACATCCGATTAAGGGGAAACCTTTTTAGGGTAAGTAGGCATGTTATGTAGATTTGCGGAATCAAGGTCATTTTGCGCGCACGTGCTTGCAAGAGCGCGCACGTGCAAAACTTGAAATGACCAATATATAATGGATATAACCGTAACTTTTCTATTTTCAGACGAAATGTTTTGAAACTCATAATGTAAGGATATATGAGTAGTATGCACAAGATGACATGGTCAAAATAGCAAGATCGCACGTGCAAGCACGTACGCTTCGCTCTGATTGGCTGAAACTAAAGTCTCAATATCTTTCTTGTTTTTTGATAAAATGATTTGAAATTTTGAACATAGTCATACATTAGGGAGATCTACAGTCCGTAATAAAAGAAATATCATGAAAACATGTGCATGCACGTGTGCTTGCAAGAGCTCGCACGTGCAACACGAGAAATTCCAATATAATTGATACCAAAGTAACTATTTATATTATTGATGATATGCTTTAAAACTCATATTAGAAGTATATATTAGAAGCATAGACAAGATGACATGGTAAAAAAAAGCACGATCTCACGCGCATGCACGTGCGCTTTGCTCTGATTGGCTGAAACTAAAGTCTCAATATCTTTCTTGTTTTTTGACGAAATCCTTTGAAATTTCAAATATAGGCATGTATTAGGATATCCTACAATAAGATATATAGCAATTATCATGAAAATGTGTGCATGCACGTGTGCTGCAATCTGATTGGCTTATGCTTTAAATAGCTATAACTCCCTTGGTTTTAAACCAAACAGGATGGGATTTGGAACTTGGATAGATATAATGGACTTCTGCAAGAAGATATGGTCACCATGCACATGCATACACGTGCATGTAGGTGCGGCTGCAATCTGATTGGCTGAAACTTTGAACTCCCTTGGTTTTCAACCAAACGGGGTGGGATTTAGAACATAGATAGATGTAAAGGACTTCTACAAGAAAGTATGGTCGCCATTCTCATGTGAGCACGTGTGTGCACGTGAAATGAGTAAAATCAAAAATACACTTGAATTAGCGTATTTTTTCATACTTTTGGATTAAATACTTTGATATTTAGTATATTAAAATCTATAGATTGTGAAGACAAGATTATATGGTCTTTACGCACGTGCATTCACATGCGCACGCGTGCAATTCTAAAATTTGAATGAAATTGGTACTCTTCTGGGTAAACGTTGTTAAAGTCTCAAATGCATAGAGTTTGTCTTGTTTAATGAAGCTTATAGGGAATATGGCACCAAAAGGGAGTTGGGGAGCGTTTGGGGAACATCTGTAACGGTCCCCGTTACAATTAGCACTAGTTTGAATTGTATTTAATTGATTTACTTAAAACAAAAATTTATTTACTAAATCAAGGAAAATTCAGATCAGTAATTACTTAAATATGGTAGTCTAAGCACTAATTGTCTGTGAGGAGGAGTTATCTTTCTTCTAAATATACCTTCATGTGAAAAAAAAAGTCACGCTAATAAAAATGCGATATTAAGTACTTGAAATGTTTAACCATTTTTAAAATGATCCTTTAAAAGATACAACTTATTCAATTTTTAAGGCTTTCAAAGTTAGAATCAAATGTTTTATTGTTATATATAATAAAACAATTACAAAGAAATTGGCAAAAGAAATAGAAAGTATAATTGTTTCCGTCATAAGTAGATTTCTTCTATTAAACTATTCAGAGGGCCCAATTAGGGAACTCTGATAAAGAAATCTGTGAGTAGTACTCACATGTCAGAGGGTCGGTACCTTGCAGTGTTTCTAGTAAATAATGTCGATTTTATTAAATATGATAAGTATTTCATTTTCTTAGTATTCTTTTGAGTAATAATATTCTAGATTTTAATTAATTTCAGAACTACATTTACTTAGTAATAATTCATAAAATTTAGTAAATAGAAAGCATATTATCTCTAAATTAAGTAATAATTTTACAAAAATGAGTAGTTCATTTACTAACTTAAAGTAATACAATTCCTATAATTTAAGTAATTCTATTGATTCTTAGTAAATCATTTTATAAGTAAATGAATTCATCCTTATTACTAATTATGTTTACAATTACTAACCATGATAGTCATTTACTTGCTATTCTGACTAAATGGATTACTAATTATTACTAGTTTTTCTTAATCTAATATCTTAATTTAAAAACAACAAGTAAAACTTTTTTTAGAGTGTCGGGATAGGGATCCCACAACAGCTCGTGTAGAGTGACAATGGGACAATAGGGGACTAATAAACAACATCCTCTGTGAAGTTTTTTAAACAAATTATCTAAATAAGTATTAGAGTACAAAACCATAGACTTAAAATTCAATAAATTTAACTTCACGTCAAAATCATTTTGTAACTTTGATATCAATAAACAATAGATATTGACACATAAATAATATTTACAGATGTATAATGAAGAATAATACGCAAGTTTCGAGATTATCTCCCTTGGTGCGCTCTTTCGTTGAGGAGGGGAGTTTGGTTGCCGTGTAAACAAACAGGTGGGACAGTTATTTATTATAGGATATATCGCATCATCGATATACTGGTTTATCGTAATTATATAATTGTAAGGATGCACTGTTCAATTCGAGAACAACCAAATGGAAGTAAAGGTGTGATTTTTTAAAGCAAAAAAATCGGAACAAAAAAGAAAATTCAGTGGATGTGAGACTTTTCAGACGAGGGAAGAGATATAGGGGCCTCTAATAATTACGGTAAACATGAATCTGATCATTACATGTGGGCACTCCAAATGACACATTGATTTTTTACCTTATTATAACTTAAAAATCCCACTAACTGTTTAGAGAATGTTTGTACAATCAAGAAAATCTTTTAATTTTATGAAGACCACGACGTTTATTTTGTTTTCAAGTAGTACCCTATAAATGAAAGTAGAGTTATAAATATACACAGCTGAGCTTGATAAAATTATAAAATGCATCACTGATTAACATCTTTATCTTTCTATAACATCAAATAAATTTTAAAAGCCACAGACATCGTTCATTTATTTATGCACGTTTGTATACATATGCAAACTGTCCCACCTCCATGCTGAAATGGATACTTTTTGCGCCTCTATCGCAGGAGAGTTACAATCTCGAAACTGGCGTATTCACATAAGACTTACACATGGTAAAATATGGATATACGACAATAGCATTCTTTATCCTTAAAGTAACCTAAGAGTACTTAACTAATTAATATGCGACGTTTTATCTTATACAGTTTAATTTGTATTAAATCTTTAATCTCATTCATTAAGAGTATTAAGTTAATACATTTCTGTTATTAGTATAAACTTCTGATTAACTTTTATATTGTCACTGGGACTACGATCGTTCCTTAAGTTGAAGGTGAAGTTTTGTTGTTGGACATGCAAATATCCTGTAGGTAAATTCCAATTTTTTGGGCATTTCCGGAGTAAGCAAAATTTGATAGGCTTGGATGAGCTAAAAAGAAAAAGGAAGTTTTTTCAATGTATAAAATACATGCTCCTTTTATTGCTCTCCGATAAAACGTTTCTTTTCGTCAATGACCGTTTATATTTGTGATAAAGATCTAGCCCTCCCCTTCCATCCATAGAAATCTCATCATTTTCCTCTGGTGAACCTCGCTAATTGAACATTCCAAAACCTTAGTGCACAACTATATCATGACCAACAAAGATTAAAAAGAACTTCAGAGTACCTACGGAAATAAATTTCATCATTTTGGTGAATGTTTCATTGCTTATAATAACCATTGTAATACACTGCAGTTGGACTGCTTAAATCTTGGAGTGAAGATTAAATATTAATTAGGGATTACAATAATTTGAAGATTTTGGCCCGAACCCTCAAGTCCAGGGAAAATGGAGGATAAGAATTATTACATGTTTTTCTTTTTGCCCAAAGATGCTGTATATACAAAAATTGGTGGAAATCCGTTCAGCCATTCCACAAAAGAAGCTGAAATTACACATTTGTAATGAAATATTAATGTGCCATGGACAAAAACAAACATGATCCATAGTGAAAAGTAACCTGAGTGACTCAGGTGACCTTAAAAAATTAAGAAAAGCCAACACTGGTTAAACTCCTGATTTGTGAAAAATATAATGACGACTTAATGGCTCTCGTTCCAGATTTAAATAAAAACATGGATTTATGTTTTTTAAGTCAAATAACAAAGATTCGATTTTGGGAACCTAGATGTACTTTGAGTTTGGTGAAACATACCTTGGTTGTGATGATATACATCTCGCTTTCAGCAAACCTTTGTCCAATACAACCTCGTGGCCCAAACCCAAAAGGTAGATAAGCAAATGGATGGTTGTGTTTAGTTTCTTCATCTACCGATTTGTCTCCCCTTAGAAATCGCTCCGGAATAAATTTATCAGGATCTTTGTAATATTTCGAACTGTTACTCATGTTTCTTAGAGGAATGAGTACATCTGACTAATAGAGAAAGACAAATCTCAATACATGTACCTCTTTTCGGCATTTATATTTTGAACTCTAATTGCAAACGATATTTGTTTCAATCCATCTATAAGCTGAAAGACAATTATTTCCTATAGATAGATACGTACTCCTTTTGGTACTTGGTAACCTCCAATAACAAAATCTTCATTTACCCTTCGAAAAGATCCAATGCTAAGGGGATAATTCTTCCTACAGTTGAAAAGGGAAGAAAATAAAGCCAAATATGAGCTTATTTTTCAACAAATTTGATATCCTCATGTATACAATGAAAGATTTTTTTTACCTTAGAGATTCTTTGACACAGGCTTTCAGATAGGGCATTTCTGACAAAGCCTCCTTGCTCAGATTATCCTTTCCTATTACAGTGCTGATTTCTTGAAAAAGTCGCTCCTGTTTGTCTTGGTGTAAAGCCAGTTCATGCCACAGGAATGTCAGTGCATTGGAGGTCTGTTAATCGAAATCATTTTTTATTTACTACAGACTTATAAAGTGGCAGTCAACTTAACAAAAATTATGCCATAAACTTGTGTTTTGTACTTACTCCTAAAAGATGTGTTGATTTTCACGTCTTTCAGTTGCATTTATAGAAATATTGTTGATTGTTTCTCAATGAAATCAGTGTCTCTTACTATGTTCAACCTGCATTATTTCTGACTTTAGATAAATAATCATCTCATACATTCATATAAATCTATCTTTTGAAAAAAAAATCTACTATGAATTAAAATAAGCAAAATCAAACTAAAACGATAGTATGACAATTTAATGAGGAAGGAAAAACGATTGTGTATAATTATCTGAGCCTCACTGAATCAATGCCACCAACAAATAAGTCAAGAATCAAGCTCTGGGCCTTCTCTGGAGTCATTTTTGCATTGTAGATAAGAGCATACAGGAGATTAGGCTCATCCAAGAGCGAGTCCAACTTCCCTTCTTTTTGTAGTTTAACCATCTCATCCAGTGCTTTCTGCATTTCCTTACTTGCAACCCTGAAAAGAAAAAAACCTTCAAAATTCATATAATATTAAACAGGTACATGTACAGCAGAATTAACATTTATCTTGATAATTAAGGTAAGTCACTCCTGAAATTTGTTATATCAAGGATTTTTTGAGAAGTATATTTTGGATAAGTACTCATAAAGTGTAACTCAAAATCGCAAAGAAACTAGGGGGTCAGTGTGCATCCTACTGATCTACGGTACATTTAAGTTGACCTTTTTGCACTTAAATTTCATCTCCTTGGTTAATTACTTTAACCCTTATTATATTTGATCAAATGTAAGCATGGCAATTAATATAATCTTATTTTACGTAAAATAGTTTGAATAAAATTTATCATTAAACAAATCTTGCAAATTAATGCGCGTAAATTATTGTGTGACCTTTTTGCACTAAAAAATAACATTTTTGGGGGTATTAAAAAACTTAATAGGCAATAAAAAATTTTCTTATATCAAACTTTTTACGACTTTAGTGCTGATCAGTCACCAGTATCGAGTAGTTTAAAATAACGAAAGAAAAAAGTTGGGTCAGTGATATTAATTTTGCAATATTTGTCAAAATATGTGATTTTCAGGCAAAAAATATTGTAAATTTGATCACTACTTCTTTAATATATTTTCATTTTTTGGAAAAATTTGTTTAGGGAAGGTGTAAAACTTAGTCTAAAAATATAAATTAAGACCTTAATTAAATTTTTTTAGCAATATCAAAACGGAAAATATTCTCCGAGTAAAAGTATGTGAGGCTAAATTTCCATTACATTAAATTTTGTAAATGTGCAGATTTGCAGAATTTTCTGCTAAATATCCTTCCACCAAAAGAAATAGTCCCTCATAAATCTTGCTTCTTTGTAGATTTTTGAGCAGTTATTTCATTGAATGTTAAAAAATTTACATTGTTGAATTTAAATATGTTATAAAGATTGAATTTTAATAAGTAGTTTTGAAGTAAAAGCTTCTGCGTGAACTTTTCTAAAAAGCTGACGAGTGACTTACCTTAAAGTCATTCTCTTTAGTCAAACAATTCTCACATGAGAAATAATACTTAAAAATGTTGCTTTGCATTTCTTGGAAGATTTATAGGTTATAATGTATACATAAATTTCTCTCACTTATACATGTTGTCGGCTGCTTTTGCAAATGTCTTGTACCGTGGAGTCTTGAAGTATTTGTAAGGTTTTACATGTTGTCCTGTTTCATCAATACCGCGGAAAAAAGTCCCCAAGTCCTCCACGAAATCCAGGTTAGATGTTCCATCTAAACACCCCAAACGTCTGTTGAAGCAGAGCATCCCTACACCTGAAACATTTGCACAAGCGATTTCTTGATTGTTATTTTTTCCTACTGTTATGAGAGCGGAATTTAAAATATTTTAAGCCCGTCGTTGGAACCTGTACGGCTTTTCTATCTATGAATTGAGAGAAGAGAGCGAAAACCCTTAAGTTCCAACAATATAAAGGCTATGTATATTTGGAATTAAAATAAATCGGTGCAAATTCGATGTCGAATATCATACCACACCAGGGAATCAGAAAAACTAAATACATGTACATGTATGTGGATTTGTTGTTTACAAAACTAAGATAAAATGATGTCCGTTATACTCCTGCGAATCACTATCATATCTTGTCTGACGCCCAATTCGAGAATTTTTCACTCATATAGAAATGTCAAGATATTCGGATGAAGGACTTCATATTTAGGATTATTATTATGGTTTAAGATACGTACATGTACCAAGGCTATATCATAAGTTTTAAAAGCATTTTTCTTGCTTGTTTTGAACATATTTTATTGAATAAAAGCATGTTTCTTGTCATGGCTTTCTGTACAACGGTCACATTTAGAATTCCATTTTTATCTTTAGTAAGCATCAAGCTGACCTCAATCGAAACTATTCAAATCATCACGTACATATAATAAAAAAAAAACTAAGCTATAGAAGACATAAAATTTTTATATCCTTTGTAAAAGGAACTTACTTTCTGTTGTAAAGTTAATCAAAGTCTTTAAACAGTCTTTTATCTCCAGAGAATCTCTGTATTTGGCGATAAAATCGTCTGCTACTGGAGTTAGAATTGGTAAATATGAAATCACGGCAGTTGGACGCAACATTTGATCATTTGCCGGTTTTCTCAGCTTTGCCCACTGTTCGCCTTGCCTATAAATGTAGGGATCTCTCTTAGAATACACCCATCAATAAGCAATCTCTGTTTTATAATAAATGCACCTGTAAACAAGCAATCTCTTTTTAAAAATGCTTTTACATTAAGAGTGTCTTTTCTATTTTTTAAGAAATACCTTGCTTTAGTTGCTTACGATGCATGCACCTATAAAGTACTTGTACTTGTGCAAGAAATACCACTGAGTTTCGCAACTTCGCTTCATTAGTAAATATTTCTTGCCACGAATACTTTTAAAAAGTCGATTGTGTAATAGTTTGAAACATACCGGGGTATTTCATTCAGCTTGAACAACAGGCATGAACGCATTTATTCGTTCTCTCTATTTACAATGTACATTATGTCTTCAAGTAGAATGTTAACTACCCTCTGTCGCGGACATATTAAGTACTCACTGATGAGTTTTCAACTGAAAATCGCGAAAAATAAATGTCGCAAATAGTAGCTGGATCATCTCTCATACTGAATCTTCAAATATGCAATCTCTCATTTACCAACAATAAGAAGTCGTTCTTACAATGCCTATGAAAGGTTAAATTTAATTCAATACTTATAATATGCTCCTTAATTTATATTAAACATATGGTATTTTTGCCCTCTTCACAGATTGGTATCCCTTAATTTTTTTTAGATCAATCACCATTCGTTTAATAACTCCATCCCTTTCATTGGGAAACCTGTAAACCAAACTTAAACTTATATATACTTAACAGTGCTGCTAGTCCAGGTGACATATTGTTTCTTCTGTAATAGACGTCTAGGATATCAATGAGTGGTCGGTAGGGGTGTTTTTCTGGAAAACCAAGCACCTGTTGGGAAAACTTGGGGTTGGATACCACAACTATCCACTTTTTTCCAGCGCGGAACTTCATTATATCACCATATTTGTCAGCGAAGGACTGAAGTAATTTGTACATTTCCGGGACTGTCACTGAAGCTTCAAACAAAGAATTTTAAGCTCAGTCAAATCACGTCGTCATAAATCTTTAGCAAAAGCAAAACCAGCAGAAATCCTGAGCATTATAATTACTATTTTAAGATCTTCAAAACGATTACCGCACTCTCCTTCTTCCTCCTTAAAAATACATACTAAAAGGCCGAAAATGAAGAGCTGTTCCAAGAAACGGGAGACTGTAGGCTCCACTAGGTCCGGGAATCTCTTGAAAAGGTTTTGCATTCCTTATTTCTTCAGGCGCGGCAGACGTATGTTGATATCTACACGCACGTAATAGGCACAGAAAGGATCGCTGAATGGGTCCCCTTTATAGCAATAAATAATTATAAAATAAAATCAAAAATTTTGCTTCCACTGTAAATAGGAATATTTATTTACGCTATGCATTCGTGAAGTATAATGATTAACAAAGAGTAATTGTCCTCAGACGTCCATCAAAGCAATACGAATCAGAGCAGACATGAACCTCTTAAAACAACAGAGCGGTCATGATCAGATGTCATAAAGGAGTAAGGATCCCCTGTCAACCGGTCATACTCGCCCTGTACGCCTTGATTTATGCTCAGAAAGTGTTATCAAGTTACCATTAATAACGTCATTTTCAGGAAAATATCCAGATATGAAACGTTCATGCCAGATTGTGTGGTATCGTTTATCTTGAGTTCAGAGGGATATATCGAATCAACATAGAAATGAAAATGAATATGATACATAGCTAAGACGTCATAGATATTGAAATATCAATGCTATTTCAAGTAAAAGAAATAACAAGAGATTTTATGTAATGAATGTTTGAAATGAATGCAGTAATACTAGTAATTCTGCTAACTAAAAAGGCGATAGCAGCTGTGACGTTTTGCAATTGAAGTCAAAACACCCTTAATATTACACTACACAAATAGGTCCTACTTTTGCAGAGCATTATGGCCGGATAGATCAGGGAAACAGGCTATTACTTCATTGTGCACTGTCAAGGTTTCTATATTATCCCTCAAAGAATAGGTATATACCGGGATATATATGTAAATCTTCCTTAAATATTCAGATTCTATAGGCTTTTGTCCTCCTTGTCTATCCTTGGCAAACTGGAGCATTTTATGGATCTTTGCCAAATACGACGAGTCCTACTTTTCGATAAATGTTTGTATATAAAGGCCGGTATACACGGTAAGATTTGTATTATAAGATTTGTATTATAATACAAAATCTTACTGTGTATACACTCTTAATACAGTGTATCATAAGATTTTTCGAATCTTATAAAACTGTATTAAGAATAGAGCAATGCTCTATTTCCTAATACAAGTCTTAACTCACCTTTCACTTTCAACCAATCAAATGTACTCACATTGGGGGTCTTCCTATTTATATCATTACTAAGTAAAGCACATGGTAAATAATAATGGCCGACTTTTCGAGTCAAGATATCGAAAAACTCGTGGTTTTATGGGAAGGGGTAGAGGACTTGTGGAATATGTCAAGCTGTACCTACCACAAAAAAAGATGCTAGAAGCAGAGCTTATTATTATAGTTTTTATTATTTTGACAGAGAGAGAAATATGGCAGGAGAAAACACGTGGGAATAATAGTTTATTTACAATCTTATGAGATATGTATTAGCGTGTGTACAAGAAAGTATTATAATACAAAAGTATTATAATACTTGTATTATACTACAAATCTCATCGTGTATACCGGCCTTAAAGCTGACATGAACTCTTAAAAAGGCATCATTTTTCATCTTTGTACGACTTACTACATTCCTGTACGCCTTTGTCCGCCATATTTCTTCGATTCCGCCATATTTACTTGAAAATTTTTGGCCACCTGTACCTGTTATATAAAGCCTGGTGCATTTGTTTCACTTGAGTGATTTTCTAGCCTGGCTGTCGACATGTACACATCTCCGATAGCATAGTTGTCATAAATCCATAAACTGACCAAATACATGTTTTAAAAGTTAACAAAAACTAGAACTATACTGAGAAGTAAATTATTTTTGAATGCATTTGCTGCAATTTAGAAAAAAATAACACGGAAAACAGCAAAAGCCGTTTGGATATGCACGCATGCAGGTCGAGAATACGCATCTAACGCAATGATAAAGATATTTACCTGAATACTGCTATCGTTACAGGGATGTGCACATGTCGAAAGAAATATCCTATTTTACTTTTATTGAAATATGCATCTCAGAATTCATGTAATCCATTGCTAACTGAACAGTAAAAAATTGTCACCACATAGCACTTGGACACACGTGGTCCACGACGATAGTCTATTGGTCAGGGGAAATTTCAAAGGTGGAAAGCTTACTGGTATTTTGGTTGACTGAAAAAGTGCATTTTTTTTTAAAAATAAATATTACTCTTGTCTGTATATGTAAATGTAAACAAAATTTTTAGACATGGCTTAATTACATTAAATTTATTTTATAGCATGCAACATTACGAATCATTCATCCTTTGACGAGATTCTCCCGTTAAAGGGGGGGGGGGGGGGGTAAAAAAAAATGCATAACGCTCTCTGAAAAAGATCGGATCTTTTTACAATCAAATATTTTCATTATAAATAATGTGTATTGGCTTTATTTATTTATTTTTTTTTTAAATAAAGACCTTATATAACTTGATTTAAACTTATTTTCATAATTTTATACACAATAAACGAGTATGATTCTATGGTACATGAATAATCAAAATAGAATTCATTGGCGGATCCAGAGGTGGAGTGGGGTTCCAGGGATTGGAACCCCCGGCCTTTATTTTTGTACACACATACAGAGAGAGAGAGAGAGAGAGAGAGAGAGAGAGAGAGAGAGAGAGAGAGAGAGAGAGAGAGAGAGAGAGAGAGAGTTTTTTTCTGTAATATATAGATAGTTATACGTCTAATAATACGAATAATTTGAAGAAATTAAAAAAATCTCTGTCCTTTCAGTTCTCTAGATCTGTAGATTTTCGCGGATTTGCTTTCCTCCGCGTACCTTCAATCATTTTTCAATCAACTACTTGAATCTCTTCACCATTTTACAACAGTATACAATCAAAGTACTGAAAGTACTGAAAAGCGGTTAGCATGCTTTCATCTAATATGTACCGAAAAAAGTGCATGAAATGATGATATTTAAGTATGCATATCTTTGTCCAATGTCATCAGAGAACAACAAAAAAAACCCCAGACATTCTGTTTTTGTAATACTTTACTTAATAGTAAAACCAATAACATTCCAAACTGATGTCACAGATGGATGCAATCTAATTAAAATTAGATGTTCCGAATCCGCTACTGCTTCTCAAACATCAAACAACATCCTATTTGGGTCATGTAAGAGTGAATCTTCGATTAGCCAAAGAAAATGGTTCCTCCGAAATCTTGGCTTATAGTTCAGATGGGTTTCTTGTTGTCACCACCGAACCAAAACACCCGAGGAGTTTGTAGTAAACAAAATATGCATTGCAAAAGCTGTGTTATGTATGACGTGTGGGGTATCTTGTACATTTTGTGCTCTTTCGTTTGCATTATTCACGTTCAGGTGCCAGACTGCAGACTATACATGAAATTTATTCCAAAATTACTTTAATTCAACGTAAGACAGTATCAATAACGATGATATGTAGCCGTGGAATTATACTGAAAGGAAAAACAAACGCAGGGTAAACTTTTGAGGTGAATTAAATTTGTTTTTCTTAAAATACTTTTTAGTTTTCCTATCTACCTTTTAAAATCATCTTTCAAAAAGATATAACCAAATTCTCATATGAATTTGTCTAATTATTCATGAGTTATTGAAGGTCAAATGACGATACCCCCCAAAAGTGAAAATCGAAAACTCCCATTATCTTCAATGTCTATTCGTGCATTTGTCAGAGTCTTATTTCTCCTTTGCATGGAATTTCATCTGAGTGTTTATCTTTCAAACCCTGGCTATATTTAGCATGGGTAACCACGCAAGAAATTAAGTCCAACGCCGCGCGCATGCGCCAGTGAGAGGAATACAACCGTAAGTTGACTGGCTCAAAAAACCAAATTGTGGAATTGTTTTCTTTCAAATTTCGTATGAATGTAATGATTATAATCATCTACTCTATAAATGGCTGTTTTTGTGGTAGTAAGGTGGCGATTTAAGAGATGGCAGGACGAATAACCCGCTCGTAACATGGCTCTGTTTCGCGTTATCGTCATCGTCACGGTTGATTGAAAACCACTCCAGACCCTCTCTGACAACGGGTAAAAAGTTTTATGGGGGAAAATTTACAAGAGACTGCTTAGTAAACCGTTGTTGCCTTTTTCATTAATTAGGCAATTCGAAAACAAGACCCCATTGAACTTCCGTAAACTGTGCTAAGATTGCAATAAATTCATAATGTTTCTTAATATTGAAAAACGATGTGCATACCTCATATGCATCAAATAATGCAACAAGATTTGTTGACAAACTCGTCGTTATCAAGTTGCACGTGTTTTGGGCTTTTTAGCGTTTTCCCTATGTGACGCCATAAATTTTATGGTTGAGTAATTCTGAATACTGATTTTGATGCACAGTAACAAAATTTCCCTTCTGACAAATTTTCGTAATTTTCGGTCATGTGGTCAAATTTTTATCGAAAATTATGCTACCCTGCGTTTCTTTTTCCTTTCAGTATAATTTGAGAATTGTTTACCGGGGCTTGAATCTACATGGCCAAAGTGTTTGTGTTTACTAGTACATGTATTCATAATCGAAAGGTCGCTCTGATGTGACCCCGAATGGGATATTAGATGTTTGAGAAGCGGTAGCGGATTTGGAACATTTAAATAGATTTTAATTAGATTGAAATGCATGTTTCAAAATTTAAACATGAGATTTCTTCAGTTTGAAAGACAGGAAGTGCATTTTTAAAAGTTCTCTCTTGGTGGCATCCAATCGTTCTCTGGATGAAAACAATTATGTTGATGTTGAAAATTTAATTGTCTTTCATGCTCTATTGAATCTGAAATTAGGTAATTGTAAAGCCTACTATAGCAAACAACTAAAAAAATGACAAGTTAAATTCTTTAGATTAATGGATTTGGAGTAGTGTAGATCTACAGCTGGCTAGTCAGAGAAAAAAGGATGGCTGAGCAGAGACTTTGTAAATGAATTGATATCAGAGAGCTCCAGATGTGTAGACTCACTGCGGGTGTAACCTGTCAACGAGGGATGATTACTTCTTCAAGACAACGGATCCCAACTCTTGAACTTTCAGGAGTCAGCTTTTCTTCTTAAATCGATCATTGATCATTCTGTATTTTGATACAGATACTGAATACTTCCGTTTAGTAATAT